GAAAGTGCCTTGCATTTCTGTTGCTATAAAAGCACTTGGAGATCTGTGAAATTAGTGGTAGAATTTGAGGTGAGAAGCCAACCACACTTTTCAGGATGGGTCTGCAGTTTGAATTGAAATTTTGATGGCAAAAATTTTCAGGAGGACTTTTTTCATTGTAGTCAATGGAGTGCAGGAAAGAATGTATAGTTACTACTCAGAGTTAATAGCTGCTAGTGTGCCAATGGACCAATATGCTCTACTTCATAAGTGGAGCAAGGGTGTATTCCTTCTGTTTCTAGCTTTCTGCATGACTGAGTTATAGCATATATCTATGAGGATTGTATTAGCTATTGCATTTAAGCCTGGAGAGTGCTGGACTGTTCTGTGGCCCAAAAGGGCTTAGAGGTCTGTAAACTTTGTAGTAGACAAGCTTGAGATGAAAAGCCAAATGCACTTTTCAGAATGGTTCTGTAGTTTTAACTGAAGTATTGATGGCAACATTGTTTGGGAGTTGTTTTTCCCTTTGAAAACAATGGAGGGCAGGAAAGAACATGCAGTTACTACACAAAGAAAGAAGCTGCTAGTGTGCCAGTGGACCAATATACTCCACTTCATAAATGGAGCGAGTGTACCTTCCCTCCTGTTTGTAGGTCTCTGCTTGCCAGTGTTATAATCACACATATATGACTTTTGTATAGTAAAGGCAGTTTACAATAAAGAGTGTGGTGAACTTTTGCTGCCCTAAAAGGCTTTGGATATCTCTGAACTTTGAAGTAAGTAGAAGTCGAGGTGAGAAATCAAACACCCTTTTCAGAGTGGTTCTTCAGTTTGAACTGAAGTTTTGTTGGCAATATTATCCAGAGTCCATTTCCCTATTGATATCAAAGGAGGGCAGTGAAGACAGTGCACTTACTCCTCAGAGAAAGAAGCTGCTAGTATACAATAGACAAATACACTCTACTTCATAAATGGAGTTGGTAGGTCTCTGCATGCCAGAGTTACAAGCACGAATATATAAGGCTTGTATAAGTAATTGCAGTTTCCCTTGGAAAGTGCTTTTCATTTCTACTGCTCTAAAAGGGCTTGGAGATCTATGAACTATGTGGAAAGTAGAAAGTGAGGTGAGAAAACAAACAAACTTTTTAGAATGATTCTGCAATATGAAATGAAGTTTTCCTGTCAACATATTTCCTGAGGCTTTTTCACCTTTAAAGTAAATGCACCAGGCTACTCCACACCTTAAATGGAGCAAAATAATATTTCCTTCAGTTTCTGGCTCTCTGCATGACTAATTTAGAAGCACATATCTCTGAAACTTGTAAAAGCAATGGCATTTAGGCCTAGAAAGTGCCATGCAGTTCTGCAGCCCAAGGGTTTGGAGATCTGTAAACTTTGTGGCAAGTAGAACTTGCTGTGAGAAGCCAAACACACTTTTCTGAATGATTCTCCAGGTTGAACTGAAGTTTTGAGAGCAACATTTTTCAGAAGACTTTTCCTCATTGAAATCAATGGAGGGCAGGACAGAATGTGCAGTTACTCCTCAGAGAAAAATCTACTGTTGTGCCAGTAGACCAATATACTCTACTTCATAAAAGGAGCAAGAGTTGATTTCCTCCTATTTCTAGGTCTCTACATGCCAGAGTTAGAAGCACACATATATGAGGCTTGTATAAGTAATGTCAGTTTGCCTTAAAGAGTGCCGAGCTTTTCTGCTGCTCCAAAAGAGGTTTGGAGATCTGTGAACTTTTTTTTTTTTTTTTTGTACCAGAGATTGAACTCAGGACCTTCCACTTGTGAGGCAAGCAGTAGCAACACTGAACTAAATCCTCAGCTCATCCGTGAATTTTTTGATAAGTAGATCTTGAGGTGAGAAGCCAAACACTCTTTTCAGAACGGTTCTGAAGTGTGAACTGAAGTTTTCCTGGCAACATATTTCCTGAGGCTCTTTCCCCTTTGAATTCAATGGAGGGGAGGAAAGAACATAGAGTTACACTTCAGAAAGCACCTGCAACAGTGTGATTGCACCAGCCTAGTCCACATGTGAGGTGGAGCAAAGGAGCATTCTCTTCTGTTTGTAGCTTTCTGCATGACTGACTTATAAGCAAATATCTCTGAGGCTTTTATGAGTAGTTGTATTTAGGCCTAGAGAGTGTAATGCAGCTCTTTGACCCAAAAAAGGATTGGAGATCCATAAACTTTGTGGCAAGAAGAACTTGAGGTCAGAAGCCAAATGCACTTTTCAGAATGGTTCTATAGCTTGATCTTAAGTTTTAATGGCGACATGTTTCTGGAGGCATTTTCTCCACTGAAATCAATGGGGGCAGGAAAGTACTTATAGTTATTTCTCAGTGAAAGAAATTGCTAGTGTGCCAGTAGAATAATATACTCTACTTCCTAAATGGAGCAACATTGTATTCCCTAGTGTTTCTAGGTCTCTGCATGCCAGAGTCATAAGCACATGTATTTGAGGCTTGTTTATTTAATGACAATGCGCCGTAGAGATTGCCCTGCATTTCTGCTGTACTAAAAGGAGTTGGAAATCTGAATTTTGTCATAAGTACAACTTCCAGAATGGTTCAGCAGTTTGAAATAATGTTTTCAAAGCAACATATTTCCTCAGGGTTTTTCCACATGGAAGTCAATGGAGTGAAGGGAATAATGTACAGTTACTCCTCAGAGACAGCATCTGTAACAGGGTGAATGTACCAGCCTACTCCAAATCTGAAGTTGAGCAAAAAGTATTCCCTTTGTTTTCTAGCTCTCTGCATGACTGAGTTATAAGCATATATCTCCCAGGCTTCTGTAATCAACAGCATTCAAGCATCAAAAGAAACGTGTAGTTCTGCCGCCCCAAAAGGGCTTGGAGATGTGTAAACCTTGTGATAAACAGAACTTGCTGTGATATCTGTGAATTTTGTAGTAAGTAGAACTTGAAGTGAGAAACCAAACAAAACTTTCAGAATGGTTCATGTAGTGTGAAATGATGTTTTCAAATCAACATATTTCCTGAGGCTTTTTCCACATTGAAGTCTATGGAGGGGAGGAAATAACATGCAGAGATTGCCATGCAGATCTATGTCCCAAAAAGGGCTTGGAGATCATTAAACTTTGTGGAAAGTGGAACTTGAGCTGAGAAGCCAAGAGCACTTTTCAGAATGGTTCTGCAGTTTGAACTGAAGTTTTGATGGCAACAATTTTTTGGAGACCTTTTCTCCTTTGAAGACAATGGAGGGGAAGAAAGAGAAAGCACTTTCAACAGTGTGAATGCACCAGCATACTCCACATCTGAAGTTGAATAAAAGAGTATTCCCTTCTGTTTCTAGCTCTCTGTATGGCTGAGGTACAAGCACATGTTTATAAGGCTTATATAAGCAATGACATTTAGGCCTAGAGAGTGCTGCGCAGTTCTGCAAGGCAAAAATTGCTTGGAGATCTGTAAACTTTGTGGTAAGTAGAACATTAGGTTAGAAGAGAAACACACTTCTCAGAATGGTTTGCAGCTTGAAGTTCAGTTTTTTTTTATTAAAGATTGCAAGCATAAATGATAACAAGAAATGAAGATACTAAATAAAAATTTCAAATATATAACAGCCAAAAAAGGATATAAAATAAACAAAAATTTATGTAACACAGACTAATCGAAATATATTATTAGTTTGATATGATCTTCAAACATTATGTTCTTTCTCATTTTCTTATAATATTTTTGAAATGATGTCATTATAAATAAAACAATGTTACATATTATAGTTTAGAAACTGTCCTCAAAATTGTATGATTTATAACCTCCTTGGTTTTATTAATTGATAAATATCATATGCTTGTTGATTGTACCACTTACATTTTCTAACAAAACTTCTCATAGAAAAAAATATACTTATATTTGAAATCCAAATGCAACTGAAAAAAATTCACATATTTAAGATCAGATTTTTCTGTTTCTATTTTATTTTATCCCATACTTATTTTTAATTATATTTTTATAAGCATAATGATAGAATTTAACACCAAAACATATGTAATATTCTTCCCAAATGAATGACTATGAATTAAGTCAAGCATGTAATTTAAAGAAATCATAAGGTTGCCAGAGAAACTATCAATATGCCAAATGAGCAAAATCCTACCACATTTATGACCGTTTGTCATTTAATAGTGCACACATATGTGTAAAAACATACACCCCAGACATATACACAATGCATATTTTCTACAATACAATATATACTTAGGTAAAACAAAACAGTGCAGTGATGTGTGGAATGTTGGTGATTTGTATAATTTGAGAAAAAACAAATATCATCGTTGAGGGAGTTGGAAAATTTGTAATATGTACCAGATACTAAATTATATTTATGATTAAATAGTTATAATAAAATTTACTTAAAATAATATTCATTATCAGTAGAAAATAGGTACAAACATATATGGATAACATAACATTTGTCTTAATAAATTTCCAACCAAACAAGCTGTAGTGACAGAAAAAGGAAGTTTGTACTAAGCAGAGATGAAAGAGGAAAATGACAGATGGACCTTAATACTTTTCATACTACTCATATATACAGATTTCATAAATTCTCAAATAAAAAAGTAAAGAAAATTAGAACCAAAATACTCATCAATTTAAACACATTCAACAAGAGTCCAATGAGCGGTTTTTTTTGTTGTTGTTGTTGTTTTTGTACCGGGATGGAACTCTAAACTTTGCGAGACAGGCGCCGTGCCACTGAGTTACATCCCTGACCCTTTCACTGAGCCTTTTAAGAAAACAGGAACAACACACTGAAAAGTGTGGGGTAGAGGCGAGGTACGGTCAACCTAGCAGAAGACAGCCTGGCCCAGAAGTATCTATGCACCACTCTTTCATCTGAGACCAGCTCTTGCAGGAAGGCGTTTGCCTCTCTCCTTATTTTTGTACAGAGGGCGGGCAAGAGAGCAGAAGCCAATCAGTGATAAAGGTCAGGCTGTATGAACTGTCCAATCAGGTGGGCCAAGGTAGGAGGGTTCTTCCGGTGTCATGGCGCCAAAGTGCTTTCCTTTACACTGTTCGGCGAGTGGAATGCTGCTCCGCCTCCTTCTGTGATTTCCATTGGCTGCAGCCTACACAGGAGTGACCCCCGGGAGACCCGAAAACCACGCAATGGTAACGTTGTGGGATGGGAGCTCTGAAATTGAGTGGAATTGGGGTGAGATCTGGTTAGAAGTGGATGTGATCAGCTGTGGTTGCCAGAGCCTCCATGCTAAGCTTCAGACACTGAGGTTTTCCTGGACTGGAACCAGGCATCCTCTGTCCCTCTTGGCCCTTGCTGGGGCAAAGGTAGTTCCGGGTCCCCGAACCTTGTCCCCACTGGGACACCGCCAGGCCACAGTGCCCTCTTGGGAAACCCCCTGTGCCCTCGAATCTCCATCAGTCTGGGGAGAGGAAGGGGATGAAAGACCCTGACTCAGATGTGGGCTGAACCTGGGTGCAGCTGTGGTGAGCTAGGTCCTGGTCTCATTCCTGGCCAGCAGCAGATCTGGCGGATCTGAAGTTTCTAAATGTCTGTGATGCAGGGTCTCACAGCCACAACACCTCTCCTCAGAGTTCTGCTTTTTTATATTTATAGCGATCTCCTACATTTTCAGTATCTCCTCACATTTCCAAACTAGTTGTAGGTATTGACAAAGGTCCTGAGAATTCAAAGAAGTGTGGTGTGCCTCAGTGGTGGAACACTTAGCAAACACCCAGTGAACTCCTTCCTGGCTTCCATAAAGAGCAACACAAAAGAACTTTGTAATCTTACTTATTTAGGTGACACCCCTACTCACAGTGAGAATGTTTAAGTGAGGAATGCCATAGAGTTTAGGATTCTGAGAAAAATGGAAGGGATATAAAAGCATTAGCAAGGCCAGAGGGAAGTGTAACTGCTGAGGACAATTTCCAGAAGGAGTTGCCTCTTAAACCCATGCTGAGAAATGCCTTGAATTGAGCATTTGCATGGACATATAGATGTGATATGTGCATGAGTGCAAAGGGACAGGGGTTTCATCTCTTAATGGCTATAGAGTTTAGCCTGATTGTAGACATTGTTTAAATACTGAAATGCTCTCTGAGGCAGGATTTTAAAGTAGTACTACAGTAGAAGCCCCACAGAGAAGTTGTGCAAGGATCTTAATCATTAGACATAAAGGGTTTTCTGCTTAGGGTGGATCAAAGGAGGTGGAAGAGAATGGCATGAGGAAGGGTGCCAATAGTAGCACCTACACAACTGATCTCTGAAAGTCAGATTGTTCTTAGGGAAAGCATGAAGGAAGAATTGTTTGTTTGTTTGCTTGCCTGGTCTGTGAGTTGGCCTAAAGTCACAGGCTTGAAGAAGGGGAACTAATAATAGATAAATCTGTCTTTTGTTATTACTGAACAGTTCACCTAATCATTTCTGAGGCAAAATGGGAAATTAGGAGACTGTCTGCCCTTGGTGTAGGTTTTTGGTTTTTTTTGTTGTTTGTTTGTTTGTTTTGGTACTGGGGATCAAACATGGGACCTTGTGCTTGCTAGGCTGGTATTGGAAACACTGAGCTAAATCTCTGGCCCAGGTGTAGGTTTTAAAATAGTGTGCGCACCATTTTGAAGTTGAATGAGAGTTTCCCTAGACCACAGAAGATTTTCCGTGTGCCTGATGTTTTTATTGTATGGGAATCGAACTCCAGAAGTTTGCTCTGAGTTACATAGCCCAAATTTTTTAATTTTTTAAAAAAAATTTTCATGTAAAGTCTTGCTAAGTTGGCCAGCATGGTGAGATCTTTTGACAGTGTTTGTACCTCATTGACTGTTGGGATGACATGCATGTGCCACTATTCCTGTTTCACATTGGTGTTTTGTTTTTTTGTTTTTTTTAAAGGCAGGGTCTCACTATGTAGTTGAGACTGACCTGGAACTCACTATGTAGCCCAGTCTGGTCTCGAACTCACAGCGATCCTCCTGCCTCAGCCTCCTATGTGCTGGGATTATAGGCATGCACCATCACGCCTGGCCAGATTGGTGTTCTTTATTCCCCTGATTTGCCAAGATTTCAGTGCTTGAGTATAGTAAAAATCAGCAAGGCCTGATAGTTCACCTTTACTCTCAGACACTTGGGAGACTGAGACATTCGTATTACAACAACAAGCCTGGTCTGGACAACTGAGGAAGACCTTCTTTCAGTATGAAATATAAATTCTGTGATTTATTTCCCCTGAACACTAACTCATCTAACATGCCTGAATCCCTATGATAAATCTCCAATACTGAAGAATAAAAGCAAAAATTATTTGGAAGTCATACTTTGAGTTTTTTATTTTATTCTTTTTTCATATGTTTGATACTTGCTCATGGTGGTGGACAGCAGTAATGAATCACTGTCAGCAACTGGGCACCAAGGGTAAACAAGCAGAGATTTACAGGGCACTGTATTCAATAAGATGCATGAGACAGTATTGTACTGCGGATGGACTTTGTACTGTGGTACATGTATTTCTCCAAACACAGATCAAGCAAGTGTGTTGAGCAGGTTTAAAGGATCCAAGGCTTAGTGGTAATGTTTGTTTGTTCAGGCATATTCGGTACATTTTCAACGCATTTTCTTTTCAACTTCCTTTGGGTTGATCATATTTTTCCTCTCTAACTCAAGTAATGTGTCTACTTCAACTCTTCAAAAAATCTCTGATGAACATGTTACTCATCAGATTGTTTCTTTTTCTGAAAGCTGCATTAATCAGGTTCCCCAGAGCATCTAAATCAAGAGAAATATGAGCAATATTTGGAAAAGGGGACACTACTCTGGATTTAGGAGTTTTTTTTTCCTTGTTTGCTTTGATTTGGTTGTTTTTATTATTAATATCATAAAAAGTGTCCCACTGTGATCATATTGTCTGGCTTGCATCTCCATAACAAGGGGATAGAATAGAGATTTCACTGATCAGATATAGGTCTGAGCAGTTTGAATAGAAGCCACCAAGCATATGCAAAGATGAAGAGAAAACACTTTCATTCTTAGTTCTAATTTATGTTGATTTTGGAAGTCTTTCTTTTCTTTTTTCTTTTGGTTTTTTTGAGATAGGGTCTCACTATGTAGTTGAGACTGACCTGGAACTCACTATGTAGCCCAGGCTGGTTTTGAACTCACAGCGATCCTCCTGCCTCAGCCTCTTGAGTACTGGGATTATAGGCCTGCACCACCACACCCAGCTGGAAACCTTTCTAACTGCTTTAATCTTGGATAAACATCTGCTGTTCTGTTCGGATTTGCAGACTCATATAATCCCACTTCCATTTCCATAACATTAAAGAGTTGAAGGTGTGTCTGTTCTGGGTGCTTTCCCCTTTGCAGTAATTTGAATTTTCTGGGAAAAGAAATGACCTTTGGCCTTTGTTATTTGTTCCATAAATTACAATTGACTGCAATCCCTGAAGACCTCTAAGTTCTCTTGGTTTGCGCATATGCTGAGAACTGACCTTCCATGTTGGTATCTTGCCATTGCCCAGGGAAATGGTCTGTGACACAGCTGAGATAAAGCACAGAGTTTTGGTTCAAAGTGCCTTTTAGTCTGTCTGTATCTCCCTGTGGGTGTCATCTTCCACCAAGAAGCAGTGGATCCTGTTCTGGACTTGTACACTGGTGACCTCTGAAGTGTAGTGCATGTGATGAGGACAAGGAAAGAGTGTGCAAGAACAGATAGTACTTTGTGAAGAGCCCACTGAGCTTGGATTTGTGGTGCAGAGCTAGAAATTTGACAGTCTTGGAGTCTGCCCATTCTCACACCTTGTCATTCAGGAGCTTATGTGTCCACTGCACCTGCTAAGTCAGTGGTTTTCAGAGGATGGCAATTGTGCATGTCAGAAAACGTGTGTGTCTCAACTTTTTTGTTATAGTTATGATATAACACCATAAGGAAGACTTAGTAGCACCTGAACAATGTCTCATAACAAGCAGGGTACCTCTTACTAGGAGGAAATCTTGACTCAAAATATCCCTAGTGCTGTGCTGGACAACTCTGATTTTTTTTTTTTTTTGTAAGTGTCTACTTTTTTTTTTATATTTTTTTTTGAAACAGGGTCTCATTATATAGTTAAGACTGACCTGGAACTCACTGTGTAGCCCACGCTGGTCTCGAACTCACAGCTATCCTCCTGCCTCAGCCTCCTGAGTGCTGGGATTACAGGCATGTGCCACCACACCTGGCCTGTAAATGTCTACTTTTTAAAATTTTATTTTTTTTGTACACAATGTAATTATATCTGATGCCTATTGTCTGATTATTTTTAAGTGCCTTAGAGTTAGTAGCAGAAAGGACTGTGAAAGTGGGTTGAAACTGAAGCTGATGAGGTTTTTTATACAGTAAAATTGCATGATCTAATAGTATTTTATTTTATTATTATTATTATTTTTTTTATTTTTGTGGTACTGGGGATCGAACTCCAGTCCTTGCACTTGTGAGGCAGGCCACCAAACCACTGAGCTAAATCCCTGGCCTGTCTAGTAGTATTTTAAACAGTAAAATAATTTTACAGATTTCTTTGGGTCAAACTAAAATCAACCTATTGGCTTACAAGTACAGTTGCCTAGTAGTATTGATCTTATACTAAAAAAGGCATGTGTCAGAATACATCTGTAGGAATCAGCAACTTAAATTTATCAGTCACTGTTCCTAGAAAAAGAACAAAGGCATTTCTAGAAGGAGTAGGAGTAAGGGTCAGGGTATTCTAGGCACCCATCTGCTTGTTTGTTACGTTGTTTGGGCTTACTTGACCAGATGTTACTAGTTACACTACAGCTTTGAACAGTGATTTATATGGTGAGGCTCTGGGACTAGGTACCACTTCTCCATCTTTTGGCCTGGTTTCTTTCAGCTAAGCCCTCAGCTTCAGACCCAGTTCACCTCCTCTTGAAAGTGGCTCTGTCTTGGGCCTGATCACTTTCTAACTGCCTATCTATCCAGTAATAACCTATCTGCAATATAAACATTCATGTATACATTTTTGTGTGGACTTATGTCTCCATAACTTCTTTATATAACAAAGATAGTGATAATGACGAATATGGAAACAATTATGGTTATACAAGGATTGTTGCATTCAAAACTCATGATAAAATCTAATTCCCAGTGGTATAGATGAATTGGTGAATA